ATTTAAAAATTCATGTTATACGTACAACCAAAAAAAGATTCTGTATTTCCATAAGGTGGGGTAAACTATGGAATAATTTAAATGTAGACATAAAAAATAGTAATAGAATTGACGAGTTTAAACATAAATATAAAGGTATGTGTCAATCAAGATATATGCAAGAACAGGCTTAATGATTAATTACATGGACAATTGTGGGTGTGGTGTATATTTTGTAAATATATCGTGTGGTGTAGAAGACAATTATTTATGTAGAGATACTGCTTGCAAACCAATGATGGTAAGATGATGTCATGGGGTAGGACTGGATAAGTCTGACTTCTTCCTACTCCATTCAAGCATGTACTAGGTATAAGCAAATTGATATTGGATTATGTGTAAAATTATGTGTGTTCTCATATCAACTGTCGTTACATGCTTGAAAGAATAAATCAAATCAAATCAAATCAAATCCCCTGAGCTTATATGTCAGGCTAAGTTTATATTTAAAATATGAACTTGTCAAAAACATTACACTAACAGTAAAACTAACCACAGCCAATAAATAGTAAACTTAACTGGCCAATATTTGGCCACTATGTTGATACCAATATATTTATGTATATCTAAACTCCACTTGTTATGGTAGCCCCCCTCACCAGGAGGGTGAGGGAGGACTGAGGTTGGACTCAAGTTTGCAGACCCAGGTGCTAGGGGGAAAAACATGACGGTAGCAGGTAAATAAAAAGAACACAGAGTATCAAAAATATGTAGTGTAGTGTAAATTAGCGTAGCGCATAGGTAGTGTGGTAGAGTCAAGCCAAAACGCACAGTGTCTGTCGGCGTAGCATTCTACCAACATGTACAGTGAGAGAAAAAAGAAAAAGAGAGGCAGGTCACGCCGAGCGGACCTGACACTGAGGTTAACTGTTATGACAGGACATTTCTTATTAACTGCCTACTTTTGATTTTTGGGCAAATCACATAAAACTCTGGAATTAGAATTGGATATGAGTGGATGGTGAAAAGATGTGATGGGAACAGTGGGGCCAACGTGTGTGTGAGTATCTGTGGGTGGGGGGGGGGTGATGTGTGGGCGGGGCTCCATTCCCATGGAGGCTGGTCTCAGAGGTTGCAGAACTCCTAAAAAAATACAGTGATGTTTATGACACACATGCTCATGCTTCTTAAAGCAAGCAATAATCCAAAAATCCAAACTGACTCTAGATAGACAGTGTAAAATCATGGTTATAAAATAAAATAAAATCTGACCCTAAGGACTGAAATGAATGGTGTTCTTTGTATGACTCATTCTGACACAGTATGTGTGTATCATCAACAGGTTAATCATATCTAGCCCTTTCCAGACATGCACTGGAACCCTGAAAATCTCTAGACATTACCCGGGGTGGGCTGTATGCGAGAACAGAAATGTCCGACATTAGAACAAATTCATGTAGTTTTCACAATACTATTACTGCACCTAAGATAATGAATAAATGCTTCTTGGCTTCCTGTAAAACTTGTATACAGCATGTTGCCGTATCATGGTGAAAATTTGTTGGCTGGGGAATTCTACACTAAGTATATTTTTCCTGTGAATCGCAATACAGTAATTTTGAGCAGGATTTCTTTTTTCAGCAGAAACAATAGTCTGTCTTTGCTGAATTTGTTGCAAGAGCTCCTAGCAAGATTCCACACCTTCTTCAGCCTTTGACTTCAGAAAGGTCACTTAACCCATTACTTTGTCACTGCAACATTACTACATTACATTATTTTAGCGTATCTTTTTTATGTAAAGTTACTTGTGTGTGTGTACCTTTAAGTAGACACACCTTCCATAACTAGTAAGCTACAGTGCATAATTTTACCAAAATATTTGCTCATGAAAACTTGGTAGATGTTTTAAAAATCTGGCAACATTTAGTTAACAATGTCATCAGTTTGGTGCAGAAATAACATTGTTGGATACACTTAAATTAGAATTATGTTGTGTGTGTTGATGTGCTAGCTAACTCCATGTGGAGAGGCTCACACTTGTTTTTCTTTTGCTAGCTACCGTGAGGCATGGGTACCGCGTACTGAAGTGGACCAGACGACACAGAACCCCACAACAGGTAAGACTTTTAAAAGCACACTGATAGGATATTTTTTATGAGAGGAAACGAGAAGGGGAAAAGGAGGATCACAGAGGAAGTCAGAAAATACCGTAACTCTTCCTGACCACAAATAATAGCATTCCTGAGGTCAGGAGCTAATACCATTTAATGTCTACAGATGCTCTGCCTTTAGGGAATTCCCAGAGGAAAAAATAAACATTTACATTATGTTCCAAGTGTCGAGTTTATACACAAAATGAAAATAATCAATAGCTCACCCAAAATTACAAAGTAACACTTCCATACTATGGTGAAGGTGAAAAACAAACAAGGTGAAATGCATTAAATATTCAATGTTATAAGGGCTGAGTTGTGCACTTTTGAACAACAAAGACTCACAGTCCTGCAGTTTCGCTCTGCTTCCACTATTTAGGCTATACTAGGCTAATTCTCATATACACTCAGAAATAAAGCAAATAATACTATTTCACAAAATGTTAAATTATGGGGTTGTCACTCAAATTAATGAGGAAAGTACATCCATACTATTTTCTCCTGAAAGTATAAGGAGTAATGAGGCCACTATTTAAATATAAAATTCATAAGAAAATGATTTATCAGTAATTAATATACTCAGAATGCAAATTACTGTAAAAAAAAAACCAAAAAAAAAAAACCCGACAGATTAATAGAGAATAGCAAAACAGGAACCCTCTTCTTACCTTTATGTCCAGGTCCGGTCAGTGGTGATGATGGAGAAGGTGAAGAAGTTAGGAACGCCTGTACAAGCACAACCTGCGGAGGCCCCAGTCTGGTGGTTGTAGAGAAGGATGAAGAGGAGGACAGAACTGTAGGAGGGAATCCACAGACATTATCTGTCTCTCTAGTCCCTGGTGTGAGCAGCACCAGCCCCCGAGCTTGGCAGTCTGTGTGGGTGTGGCACCTCATCGCGCTCGACTTCACATCTGAAAAAGTCCCCTTGGTGCACAGTTTACAGATCACATCCTCGGTTTCACTGCCTCGTTTTTTCACCCTTGTCCCAGGAGGGCACAGTGAGTGGGGCTTACACTGTATGCCACCACTCACTGAAAAGAAGCTGTTGGGTGGACATGTGCAGATACGGTCCTGGGTGGCCATGCAGGGTGCTTTCTCAATAAAACCTGCAGGACACATAGCCCGACAGCGATGACACTGCTGCACCCCATTCTCGCCCCGTGTGAAGGTGCCTTCGGGGCAGGGGCTGCACTCCCTCACCGCTGAGGGGGAGCAGTGGGCAGACACGTAGGTACCTGCCGGGCACTTATTGCAGACCAGCTGGGCACCTGATTCAGGGTCTGTGTGTCGATAGTGGCGAGGAGAGAAAATGGGCTGGTCAGCTGAGCTGGGTGTGGTCAAAACCCAGGAGATGTCAACCACCACGGTATACAGGAGCTAAGAAGAGAAGAGGATGTAGCAGTTAAGAGAAAATTCAAAAATGTCAGTTTTTAAAGATATATTGTACTATAAATAATTACCTACTCCTAATCAGGATTTTTATGCAATAAGGATGAAATGGATTGTTGAATGAAGAAAATTTTTTTTGATTTCTTAAAGCAGGGGTTAGCAGTTAGGTTCAACATTCATTCTGAATTACATGAGCAGCAGACTGACAATAAGTCATACAGAAGATCTGATGCTAATAATACAAGGAACAACTTAATCTTTTGTAAGGGGGACCAAAATGTTTTGTTGGATGCCTCAGTTAGGCCAACGAGCCACTATTTGCCTTCCATTACTTTAGAGCTTTCAATCAATGATGAAGAATAGATCACAAATTTCCAAATTTCTAAATGGTTCTTCTGTTCACTCAAGGCTTCTAGGTGAGATTTATAAACTCATCAGGTCATTAATTGAGATACACTAAACTAATGCAAGTCATCAAATCCAAAACTGCTTTCAGATCAGCAGCGAGCAACCACTCAGACAAATGTGGAGTTACCAAAGTAAAAGCCACGCAGCCAGACATGAGTGAGCTGTGTGTCAGGTTACATGGATTCTGGAAAGTCTGGTTTTCAACACACCTCATGCTGCCAGTGAATGAAGCTGTTGATGCTATTTGTAGGAAAGTTGTTCACCGAGAAAGTTAATCCAACACCATTTGGCTTACTCATTCCTCTCATTCATCCTGTGCCTCTGGAATGCCCACTTCACAGCCACAAAGGCACGTGATGAAGGCTTTTCTTAATTTCTTTTTTCAGGCTCCCCACTCACCTCTGCTAGGAAGCCAGCTCACCGGATTTAAGGGAAAGGGCCACATATGTTTGATTTCACTCTCACACCCACACACAAACTGAATGAGTCATCATGTCAGAGCAATAGTATCAGGTGGTCTGACTGGTAGAGGACTGTCTGTCTCCAACAGTCAGAGGTGTCCAACAGGCCTTTACCAGTTCCTATGGCACATTTTTAAACAGGGCACTACAGTAGACTTTGATACCTGTTTTGTATTTCAACTACCCTGAAGCCACTGTGTGTGAGCTTTACATGCTGGGTGGCCTAGGTGATAACACAATCTTGATAATTATCACACACAAAACACACAATAAGAATGATTAAATGATGACTCTATTCTACATAATAACCCTTTTATGCTGCAGTAGTAGAGTTATGGAGCTGACATACTGTATGTTGGCCCAAAACAAGGAAAAACCACTTTGTTGGAAACATAAAAAAGTGAGTGAATCTGAGGAGAGCCAGCCATCAGTAAAAGACAAGGAAATTGTGCAAAGTGAGGAATTTGGATTTCAAAACTGGATAAACATCAGAGTGATAACCCAGTGGTTGCTGAACTGGGGGACAGACCCGTTCAGGGGGCCCCAAAGTTATGTCGGGGGGCACGGCATGGTATATCTCCTCCCGAGACCCAGAAGAAAAAATGTTTTTATATTTTGATTAATATAAATTAAGTCTTTGGGATGTAAGAAATATGTCACAAGTGTAGCGGAAATGACTAGACTTTATGAACATGAATGTTAATATTTCTAATATTTTAAGACTGTTAAATTAGGGCACCAGATAGTTATGGTTCCATCACACAGTGATGAATTTGTTAATAGGAGTAATTAATTCAGTCTCCATCGGAAAGCAAAGAGTTCTACAGTTCATTGACCTACTTACTGGAAGTAAAAGAGACCAAAGATGACTTGAGAAATAGCCAGTTCTAGTCTAAATAATTTAATTTCCAATATGTACAAAAGGGGAAATGATCGGGATAAAAATATACAATGAAATGGTACATTTGTAACAGAGATGGAATCAGTGGATGGCTGGCTTATTGTTAGCGATGGTGGAATACTGAGCTACAGTTGTCTCAAATTACATCAGATTTTGGATCAAAATTTTAGGATTTAGTCATAAATTTGGAGGGAAAGATGACTGACAGTTTTTACTTATTAGAGACTTTAAATGAGAAGGAGAAGCGCTGGGTTTGGCCCTTTGAGCCAGATTCAAGCTGGTCCAGAGTTCCTAGATGGTCCTGAACGGGGGGCTCAGGACCACATATAAATCATGGTGTATTTCACACACTAGCTGCAGCTGTGGGCAAGTTACTGTGTAACAGCTGCTGGTTACAGGACCACGGTCTTTCTTCCATTCACAAAAGCTGGGCAGTCATATTAGCAGATGACTGAGTAAATATTTATCTGCAATACTTCTACAATAAATATCATACTTCCATGTTATCACATCAGTGACAATCAAAGCGTCCATGGTGCTTTTAAAGGGGATGAGAGGAGCTGGTTTGACTGGCCATTATAAAGCCTGTCCTCAGTCCTTATCATGCATACCTCGCTCTAATGTATTCCACCTTTCTACCATGTTGTGCCCAACTGCATCCAAACTATGCCAGTGCTGCTGGTCACCAAAACTGCAAAATGTTGTTGGTCACACACATAGCTATGCACCTTGCACCTGGAGTTTAGACTTGCGTTTACCTCTGTATCCTATTTCAGGAAAATAGAGCTAATGCCACCTGGTCATTTTAGCAGACGCATCTTCAACAAAAGCTTTAATTTCATTTCATTATGGGTACTGGGCACAGGAAGCTGTGGGGATCGGACGCAGCATTATGACCTGATCTTGCTTGTGCATTATAAATGGTACAATAGAAAGCAGTTCTTGGTGTTTGAGACACAAAGAAACAAGTTGCACTTCATCAGCTTCACAAGTGTCTGACTCTCCCCCTCAGTGGTTTTCATCAAAACCATTTCTCCATCACTCAGCGCTGTTGTTTCTGGAGAAAGGAAAATGTTTGAAAATGAAAAAAAGGAAGTCCCGGTGTCCCCTATGAGGGACGGGGTGCAAAATGTGTATTTTGAAAAGCTTAAAATTAATATACAGGTCTAAAATTTTAATATCTTTAAGACCTTCATAAATAAAAAATATTGTGAAAAAATACATACAATCTTTATAAATTTGATCATTTACACCCCTGACTGATGCTTGCTGCAATTGCTACCAGAGAGAACATGTGATCTGCTGTCCACACACCAAGTAGTGTGACATCAAGAGAGCCCAGGATGTCCTCTTCCCAGGACATTACAACACAA